TTGTCATAAATGCTTGTTCAACATTAGTGGCATTTTTGGCACTAGTTTCCAAAAATTTTATATTTAATGAGTCTGCATATTCCTAAAATGAGAGAAACAAATTATACGTTAAAGAAAATAGGTTAAAACTAAAGTTAAATCACAATATCAATTTCAGCAGCCACTAATCATAAGGAAGTAATGACTGATCAAAAATAGCTATATATATATATTAATAAAAACGCAATATCTAACTGTAGAAAAAAGTATGACCATCTATACTGGCTGCTTTGAGTATTGTCTTCAAAAGCGACCAAATACTTTCGTAGAAACACTGATCACACACTTTCTCAACAGCAGTTTCCTACTAACTCAAGGATAACGAAAGCTTGTACTACATTTTTTTTCGATTCTAACTTCAAGATATCTTGTCTTTCTCTTATAGTCTGTCACATTATTCAAAAACTCTCGTAAATTCATCCAAGAAAGAAAAAAAGCACGACTTACTTTAGCTTTAACATAATCAACGGCTTTTTTAGCTGTTAAATCGCATTTGTTGCCAACTAAAAGTTTATTTACTTGATCACTTGCATAACGATCAATTTCTTGTAACCATTGTTTAACATTATTAAATGATTCCTAGGTAAATAGAAAGAACATCGATTGTTTAAAATTTTAGTCTGAAAAAAGATTAATAATTAAACTTACTTGATCTGTCACATCATAAACAACAATAATTCCATGAGCTCCACGATAATAACTGCCTATATGAAATTAAAAAAAATTAGTATTATACAAGAAGAATTTCAATATTATATGTTTACTTGTAATTGTTCGAAATCGTTCTTGGCCAGCAGTATCCCACTAAAGATAAAAAAATAAAAATATTTTCAAATAAATAAATGCCATAACACCAATTATTACTTACAATTTGCAATTTAATTGTTTTTCCTTCAAGATCAATTGTACGAATTTTCTAATGAAAAGAGATAAGTTAAAAATTATCTATTAGTAGTAATAAAGTAAAACATATGCTTACAAAATCAACACCAATTGTACTAATATAACTTTCAGTATAAGTATCATCCTACAATAAAAGAAATTATTTTATAAAAACAGATGTGTAGTTGCTTATGAATAGAAATTGAGAAAAAAACAAATCACAACTTACAGCAAAACGTAATAATAAACATGATTTGCCAACACCCGAATCACCGATAAGTAATAATTTGAATAAATAATCGCTAGAAAAAAGAAAAATACACACATTAAAAATAATTTACCATTCTGTAAATTAAAATAAAACAAACTTACTATTCCGGATTCATTTTGAAATTAAAATCTGTTTTTTAAAGTACAAGATATGTTTAATGAAGTAAAATATTTGAAATATTTTGTGGCTGTTATTCTAAAATAGAAAGATAGATACATGGTAACATTCATTTTTCTTTATTAAAAATCAAAGCATATTTCAATTAATGATAATTAATTCAATGATTACATAGAAAAATCAAATAGGTATCGATAGATGCGCAAATATAAATAAGGCATATGTGAATTATTTTTTCCAAAATATTTTCTCCTGTTTTTGTTAAAAATACAGAATAGAGCAGGACTGTTATGGTACAGTGTTTACCATAAAAAAACTTGAAGGTGCATGAAGAAGCGACATTGCTCTACACAATAATTAAATATAACAAGTCTTTTAAAATTTAAAAGAGTTAAAATTTTTTGTATGTGAAACTTTGATGGTGCAAAAAAATGAAATTTCATACTAATGCTAGAAAATCCAATATAAATTTGCTTCATGAGGAGTAAAGAAAATAGAAATAACAAAATCTGAACATCTATTTTAGACAAGAGGATGAATAAGGTAAGCGTCTAGAAGAAAATCTGGGGTCATACAACGATCTGAAATATAATATAACTGTGTGTACTTTAACAGAATGAAAATTTCCAAGTTCCATCGTAGTTTTGAATGCACAAACCTTAATTTACACAAAATCATTAGAAATTCTATACTTTATTACGGTTAGATAGTCAACTATAAAAAGAATAAACTAAAAATTGCAAAGTATTTCTATTTAAAGACACTCAATTCTTTTTCTTAGAGTCCAAAATAAAATTTTACACTGTTTTTCAGTGGACAAATACTCGTTAACATTAATCGTTCTAAATACTGACACAAAGAAAAAATTGACAGACAGAGAAAAGTTAATAGCTAGCCTGTCACGATATAACAACAGAAAGATATTTTTTTCATTTCGTCAACGTGTGCTGTAGGCAACCCTAATAAGAACAGGAGAACCACCGCGATGAAGATTTTCTAAACAACAAACAGTCTTTTTTGACTCTAGAATGTTCCAAAAGAAAGTTAAACTAAAATACAAAAAAATTTTCTCACATTAACTATTCTAAATAACGTCTTTTTTAGATATTAACATTTTTGAAGTGCATAAATGCAAAAATTTTCCTGTTAATTTCTTTACACAATATTTGTAGAGATCATAAAGCAAATTTTCATTGGTTAATGTGAGATATTAGTCATCACTTTGAATAACAGAAAATGAAACGAAAAATATGAAAAAAGAGTAACGCGTAAAAATACTATTACTAGGTAAATATTTATCCAACAGCTGCTCTAATGTAGAAAAAAATGAAGAAGAGACTAATAACTGAAATTTTTTTGAAGGCAAACCAGCTGGTTAATTCATGAAATAGCAAGAATCGATAAAAAGAGAACAAACGGAAAAACATTTAGATAAAAAACAAAAATGAGACAAAGATTACCCTTACAAATTTTTTTTTAAATTGAGTCGTCTACAAAGCGAAACTAACAAAAGTTAGATTATCTATTGATAAAATGATACGTTTGCCCAACGACATTAGAAAAATGTGATACTATTTCAAAATAATTTTTTCGGGAAGAAGTAAAAAATTCACCTAAAAAACGTAAAGACTGATTCACCCACCTTTCATAGTTTTTTTAGATATACTGGAAAGGTGAATGTAACACGTCATCTATTATAACAACGTGACGAAAAAGAATAAATGCGTGAAACTCATTATACAATTTATTACACTGAAAAATATTTTCTTTTCAAAGTAATAAAAGAATGCTATGAATTTTCAGACGGAGTCATCCGCTGTCCGTCAATTTCAGTCTTTTGTGATAAATAGTGGGAATTTTTACGTGGGTAGATTCTTGTAAACAAATTCCGTTGCAATTATTTTGAAAAAGCTTTTCATGTTACTGTTTTTCACTCATTACGTTTAGTAAGTGATGAAGATTTAGTAAAAAAACAGATTTTCTTTTATTGGAGCAACGAAAATTTCAGAAGTAAGAGTTTCCCCCTTTGGGTTGGTTTCTCTGTGCGTTCTATAAATCTGCCACTGAGTAATGAAATTTCTAATTTTTCTATGTCCATAAACAGATAGTCTTTTTTCAATTGCCATTGTAGTACTTCTTGTTTAGTTCCTTCATCTCTTGTGTAAAGGTATAAGACTTTTTTTTAATTACCTCGTTTTGTCTTAACCTTATCAAAGTCTGTTTTGTTTATTTTTGACTGAAACAAATGTATTCATGTAAGATGTATCGTTCCACTTTAAATAAAAAAAAACAACGTGTGATCATATTGAGTTTGATCATCAAAAATCAAAACAAAAAATATTGTCGACTTTTTTTTCAATTTCCTTCACGGATCATTGTTGTCTATTATTTGTATTCGAGCAAATATAGTCAAATCTAATTAACAGATTGAAAAAATGATAAACTTTCCAATCCATGTACCTCCTCTAGTTTTCTAGTCATTAGACATGTATCATAAAGTCAGCAAAATGTTGACAATCAAAATCAACATGTAATGTCGATAATAATGATGATGATGAACCAGTGATCATGGAGATGATGATAAATTGCGGTAACAAACACGAGTTGTTTGTTACATAGTTTAGTAAGACCGAATCTGTTACTTATTTCAATCATAATCTTTCAAATAGTCGTTATTTATGATTACTTTAATTATGATTCGATAGATCGACCAACATTTCAATCAACATTAACAAAATGTTCTCGATAGTTAGATAGTTTTGAAAACTACCAGTTTCAGAACAAATCATGCTACCAAACATGAACTTCTAAGCTGCGGATAACATAGAGTTTGTTATCTTATTACCAATATTTATAATTGTAGAAAATAAACAAAATGTTTTTGATTTAACATTTCTATGTTTTTTTCTTATAAAACTACATCAAAATTTATTGCACATATTCTGCTTATATAAAAAAGTAACAAACAGATCTGATTTACACAAAGAAAAGGCTACGAAAATGAGCCAACAATTTACGTTTGAAACAAGACAAAATAATTTTTATAATGTACAAATTATTTTGATTTATTTCAATAAAACTCAATAACAAAATAAAGAGAAAATGAGAAGCCATGTTTATTTTACTTTTTACTATTTAATCTTTTTTTTTATTTTCAGCTCGAACAACATTTGATATACCGTTCATAAATTTAGTTGTAAATAAAACATTTGCATTAGAAAACATTCCATCTTTTAATGAAACAATAATAAATTGAGCATTACGAAAATTTTTTTTAATAACTAATCCAATATTTTGTGTATGTGACATATCGAGAGCGGCATCAACTTCATCTAGGATGTATAATGGTGCTGGATTATATGTCAGTAATGCTAATACTAATGAAAGACCAGCTAATGAACGTTGACCACCACTTAATTCATCCAATGTATCTTTCCATAATGGACCCAATTTGACTTTAATTTCAAGACCACTTAATACAAGATCTTTTGGAGCATTTTCATAATCATAATGACCATTATGAGATGTTAATTTAGCATTTGAATCATGTAGTAATGTTGAAAATATTTCACCAAATGATTTATTGACTTTTTCCCATGCTATTCGTAATGCATCTTGTTTTTTCTTATCCCTAAAAGACAGACATACCAAGTATGAGATTCAATAGTGTGAGTATTAAACGTCCCATTACTAGATTAAGTACAAAAGAAGAATTCAAATTTCGTCTGACTTACACATTAAACATGTGATGTTTGTATTTTGTATCTAGAAGCCACCAACTCATGTGCTCAAGCAGAACAGACGTACAAAATATACCTATTTGCTCTTCTGATCGTCGAGAACTTTTTTTTAAAAAAAACTTTAAAAAAGTAGCACTTGTTACTGGAGAAAAAATTTGACACTTCTGGGAACATTTTTAGAAAAGGTTTTTAACCTTACACGTAGATTCTGCAGCTCTTTGCACAAATTTCCACTTTATTTGAATTTTGTTAATGCGGTGCGAAGCAATACCACATTATAGTAATAAACCGTGTCTTGCGTCTTTCATTTCTAGACTGAAAAAGTGTCATTTTCTGTAACAACTTTCTCGGAAACTAGAAGAGGTACAGTCAAATTTTAAACGCACATAGGGAACTGTGTGTCTGAATTTATAAATAAGCTATTTTCAGTTTTTTGTAGATGTTCCAGTGGAAAGTTAGAACGTTTGAAAGCACGCGATTTGAACGTCTGGGACTTTTTTTTTAAAATTAATCTGAGTCATTCATGTGCAGGTGCATTTATAAAAGAGTACGTTCCCATACTGTGATTCATTTTACGACAATGTTTTTATATGTATTCAGCGAATGCCTAGCCTCTAAATGTATTACTGTTTTAAAGATAATTAATGCAGTATGTAAGATAAAATCTCTAGACTATGATAAAGATTAAAACTTAGTTGCACTAAGAGCATATTTAGCTGTTTCCCATCGCATTTGCAAGTCTCACTGGAGTGATTGCCGACTACTTTCTATAGGAAACAAATTGATGAACTATAATTTCTATCTACTTACCAATCTTGTACAACTTTTTCAATATTTGCTTTATCTTTTAACACTTTCTTTTGTTTTGTTAACAATTGTTTATACATTGTTCGTTTTTGTTCTAATAAGGTCATTGAACGTTCATCAACATTTTTCGATAAATTTGTTAATCGTTCTTTCAAATCATTTAATTGTTTTTTCATACGTGGAATATCCAAATGTTGAAAATCGTACAGTGTATTTGGTTGATTAAAATTTTTTTCTTCTTCTAATAACCATTTGCCATGTTTCTCTATATAAAAGTAGTTTTATTAAACGAGATAAAAATAAAGAAAGAAACAAAATTGGCTACAAAGAATAGTAGCACATACGTAACAATAGAATCCCCGTTTCATGAGTTAAGTTTAACATCACTTTAGTACGATAGGAAACAAAATGAACAACACGCGGATAAGACTTTATTACCTAATAATAATTGACATTTCTTTGTTGAATCATGTACAGCCTTTTTAATATCAGTTAACTTATGTCGATATTCTTCCATTAATATTTCTCGTTGACGACGTTCTTTAATTAATTCTTGTTCTTCTTGATTTAGAAGATGAATTTGATTATTAAAATCTGTTAATTTTTCACGTTTTTTTGTTAATTCTGACAATATTTCATCAACATCATGTTTCTTTTCAGTTATACTCTCTTTTGATTCAATAAATGACTTTTCATTTTGTTGAATTTGTTGCTGTAATTGATTAAGATCTTCTTGTAATTGAGCATTATCTTTACGATGTTCTTCTAATTGCATTTGAAGATCTAAATAAAAGAATAAAATATAAATAATTTGTAGAAAAAATGAATTATTTAATTATTTTACCTTTAATTTCATATTCTTTTTCTCTTATTTGTTTATTTGTTAAATCAATCTGTTTTTCTGCTTTTTGTAATAGTTGTTCAACATCTTTTAATTCTTTTGCTTTTGCTTCATGTTCATTTTTAAATGCTTTTTCCAAATCATTTATTTTTATTGTTAATTGTTTTTCTTGCTCTTGATATTCAACTAATTCACCTTTAAATTTATCATAATCTTGTTCAAGATGTTGAATATCTGTTTGTAGACGATGTTCATCATTTTGTTGTAAATTAATTTCTAATAAATTTAATTCTTGAGTTAAACTATTTAATTTTTGTGTAAAATCCTGATATTTTCCATAATTCATTTCTAACTTTTGTAATTCAGATTTTAATTGCATATTTTTTTGTATTTGTTGTTCACATTCTTGTTCAACAATATTCAGTTCATTGACAACATCTGAATAATCGCAAAAAAAAGTCAAGTAGTACAATGGAAAAATGTAGATACTTTTCAGGCCCATAGTCAGAGAGGGGGATTGAGGGAACCGGTCCCCCCCTCTGAACTTTTGAAGAAATGAGTTTTTCCTCACTAAATAATGTCAAACTTCTTGTGTTTTTATACTGTCCATACTCTGTCCCGAGGATGTCGTAGAGCCAGCTCACAATATTATGGCAGTGAAAATAAAACTGCGTACGGGTGATGTCGGAAAAGCATTTTTTCGTAGTGATAGGAAACAAGAGAAAAAGATTTCTTTTCGTACAGGTGAACATTTTTTTCTCAATAACAACTCGTATCGAATAAACAATCTTAATATTTTTAGCAGAAATGTTTTACTCGTTTATCGTATGAAAAGACAAAAGTTGCTAGTTGATATGAGCAGACAAACGCAAGTTTTTGTACAATATTTCTGCGCTCAAGCAGAAAAAAAATTCCATACTACCTCTGAAGTAAAAAAGAATCGGTCTCCCCCCTTCGCAAAAATCCTGGCTACGGGCGTGATACTTTTTTACCATTCGATCTTCTCCATATTTACCTAATAAATTTTGTTTTGATTGTTTATCATTTGAACCTCCACTTAAAATACCAGCTGGATTATACGTATCCCCATCGTATGTAACAGAAAAAGCATTTAGACCTAATTTTTCATCAAATGCTACTCGACCAGCTATTGTCGTATCGGCACATATAACATAACGACCAAATACATAATTAATCAATTGTTCATATTTTTTATCATAATTAATTAAATCTTTGGCTAAATGAACATTATCATTACCAAATTCACGTTTAGCCATGTCAATTTTTTGTTTTGATATAGCATCACCTTGAATACGATTCAATGGTGCAAATACGATACGTCGAGTTAAATTGCCTTTTTTTAACAATAATGTGCCTTGAAAAAGAGAGAGAAGAAAAATAATATCAAACAATAGTTATAACATTAAAAGATAAAAAAACAATTTTTAGACTAGACAATTGATTTATTTTAAAATCTTTGATAAAAATATAAAATATTTACCCGTCATATCAGTATCAACAACAACATTGAATAATTTTGATCCACCAGCCACTTCTAATGCTTGTGAATATTTTTTATCTTTAATTGTAAATAATGAAGCTACAAGACCATGTACACGTCTTTTTCGATCAAAATTTTGTTCAGGATCTATGTAAACAAAATCTAAATGTTGATTTTGACGTTTTAATTGTTGTAATTTATGTCGTTTTTGATCAAGTAATTGTTCAGCAAGACGATAATCAGTTTGTAATTGTTTCATATTATTTAAATCAAAATTTAATTGTTTTAAATCCCCATCAATTTGTTCTAAACCTTTTTTCTTTTGATCATATTGAGTTTTCATAGTTGAATAGGAACCTTGTTTCTTTTGTACTTGTTGTTGTTCTAAATAAAATAAGTCAATAATTAACGATTAAAAAGGAAAATTGAGTTACAAGAAAGAAAGAAAAGTCTTCATCATCATCAGATTAAAGAGATATATTTATTCTTTTTATCCACCTTTCTTACCTATACGTAATTTTTTCAATTCTTTTTCTGTATGTTCACAGCGTTGTTGCAATTGTTTTATTGATGTTACCAATTGTGCTTTTTGTTCTTTATATTTCGTTAACTTTTCTCGATTTGTTAATTTTGAATCATCTACTACTGTGCCACTCGCACTCGTAGCTGATGTTTTAGAATCAGATATCGTATTAGTACCAGTTGTTACGGCATAGTGTCGCTGTTGTAATTGTACAACATGATCCATATCTAATTTTAATTTTTTATTTAAATTATCAAGTTCTACTTCTTTATCTTTGATTGTTTTTTCCACATCTTCAATTGTTACTAAACCTTGACGATGATCATTTTCATTTTGTTCAACTTGTTGTTTCAATGTTTTAATACGTTTTTCAATTATTAAATTTTCATTTTGTAATGAACGCAATTCACTTTGATGTTTTTCATAGTCTTTTTGCATTTCAGATACAGCATTACCAACACCTGAATAAAATAAGATAAAATTTAGAATGATGGAATGAATCAAAAGAAGAATACAGTGAACAAAAAGATATGTACGTAGCTGTAGTAACAAATCTCAGGACGTTAAGAAAAGTCATTGCTTTCACATCTTTCATAGTTCAAAAAGATCTCAAACACTTTATTTTTACGACAAGATATTCAATTAGAGTCAAACATGCGTTTAATATGTTCAAAACACTTCTTCATACTACGATCGTAAGTGAAAAGCTAGAGCATTCTCTACACTGCTTGTCCATGTAACAAGTATTTTGAGTAAAATAGAACTATTGGTGGCTGTAAATGTTGTTGTTTTCTTATTAGCAAACTTACTTTCATTTCTACTCTGTTCAATATGTTTAACATCTTTGCCAATTTGTTTAATTTTATCTCCTATTGTTTGTATTCGATCATTACATTCAGTTAAACTGTTTTCAATTTGTTTTTTTTCATTTGCTGATTCTTTCTCAATCGTCGATAATTGATAATAATCATAGGCAGCCGATTGTTGTTGTAATAATTTATATTTTTTTTTAATTTCTTGATAATCTTTATAATTTTTTTCGTCTTGTTGCAGTTTATTTATAGTAGGAGTTATATCATCTTCAATTGCTTGACGAATTTCATTTAATTTTGCATTTTTCTTCTCTATCGTTTTTAATGCATCCGCCTTCTTTTGATCATACATTTTTGTACCAGCTGCTTCTTCAACCAAACCTATTGAAAAACAAGAAAAATGTATACATAACAAATTCAATATAATTAGTATAATACGTACCTAATATCTCGGCGGGTTTTGAGCGACTAACTTTTGTTACTTGTCCTTGTAATATTAAAAACCTTGGATTATTTACATTTAATGATACACTTTTGAATAAATCATGAATAGCTGTTTGAGTGATTATTTTTCCATTAAGCAAATATTTTGATTTACCCCCTGTTTCAATAATACGTGTAACAGTTAATTCTTGATGACTTTTATAACCATCCGGTGATTGATCAGGATTACGATTATCGAATACAATTGATACACTCGCACGAGTAATACCAGCCGTACCTTGTTTATAGATTAAATCTGTTAAACCTGATGCACGTACATGGTGCAATGATGTTATGCCCATAACGAAACATATTGAATCGAGAATATTAGATTTGCCACTACCATTCAAACCGGTCACAGCATTAAAATATTCATCAAATGGGCCAACTGTTGTTCGAGATGCATACGATTTAAAACCTTCTAACACAATTTCTTTGATATGCATGGCTTTTGGATGATCTAAACCAAAATGAGGAAAATAACAGATTTTTGCTTCAAACTGCAGATATTGTACGGATATGTACGTCTCCTTTAATCTAATAGTCTCTTCTGAGTTGTTATAAAAAGCGAGGATGACGGGTCCATAAACATTTTGAAAAGTTCTACCAAAATTTGAGTACGGTCACCTAGGCTTCTGGTTATAAGGATAAGCCATTGTGAATTGTGACATGTTTCAGAAAACAAAGTAGACAACTTAATTACCACAAAATTTTTCGCACAATCATAGATTGCATTTCAAATTATTGCTGCTTCTTTTATCTGACCATTTTACTCGAATTTATCACTATACGTTAAAATACAGAGCTGTTTTTCGAAAATAAGGCTTTGTTCCGTTGAACGCTCGTTCTCCTTTGTTGAATAAATGAGCCAATCAATTTCGATATGTCGCCTCTGGTATAGTTTTATGTTTTGAGAACTATATCAGCATATCATATGCCAAACTTCAAGATCCATCTCATAACTTTTTTTTGCTGAAAATATTGACCACAAAACACAAAATTTAAACTCAAAGTGGCAAATTACATTGTTCTTAACGATCGGTACTTAGTCATATCGCTGCTTTTTTAATACTTGCGGCGCAATGTGGCGCAAGTGAAAATTGCGCATACTTGCACTGTTGCGATCACAATTGTGCGCAGTTCGTTCGCATTGTGCGACACAATTGCCCTTATGTTTTCTATGTGTCATGGAAGCCACACTTTGTCTTCCTCTTGCGTCCAGAAAATGCAAGAAAATTTAATTCTTTTCACGTCGATGAGATCGCGGCATTTTTAACAATTAATGGCGACTCTTGAAAAAGCGTAAATTAATTGCGATTAATTGGCGATTCCGATGAATTTTCTTTTTTTAACAATTGTCGATTAATTGTTGATTTTAAGCTATTTAAATGGTTATTGTTATTCACAGTTTTATTTTGCACTAAAGTGTGTATATAAGAAACACGATTTAAACGAGAAATACACTTCTATTTAGATTATCGTTTTATTTTAGAGTAAAACGGAGTTGTCAAGCGTCTTCTCTATGGTCCCTCTGAACTTTAAGTCGAGGAGCCCAGTGAACAGCTGGTATCTGGACAATGTCTAAAATCGACTCATTAGAAAGGCTCTGACTTCAAGCACCTATTGGTTTCTGAATAAAATTTTTTTGTTTCCTCTCTACACACTTGTGTATTCACTTTTGGAAGTGACATCTGAGATATTGCAGCGTTCTCTTTTCTCCTTAACCCGACATGCTTCACTGGTGCACACTTCAACCTCTTTTCACCGCCGGAGCTGGTCCGAGACCTCCAGCATAGGTCTCTGGTAGGTAGATCAACTGGTCTCTACTCGATCCAGCTCTGTTCAACTATAATCATTAGACATACAATCATATGTGGTCACAGGCTCATCCTTGAATAGCAATGTTCAAGAAAGGAAAAATTTCGACTAAAACAAAACAATGGTTCAAGAATTATCAAGATCTTGATACAAGAATACAAAGAAATTTCAAAATATTCAATATTTTGAGTTCTTGGAATTCCTTAGATTTTCTTATTAAAGTCAAGATTTTTACTGAAAAAATTCAAGAAGTCAAGATCTCAGTTTATAAGACGTTTCACTATGGTAGCTATCAATAAAACAGACCGTTCTTTTTTCCCTTGATTCAGATATGAAAGAATGATAAATCAGACTAACAACCGCTAAAAAACTGATTTAGTGTCGGTACACATCAATGTTAAGTATTGCATCATTTTTTTTTGCAGAGTGATCACAATTACTTTATGCGCTTAAGGAAAAATTGGTGAATTTAACAGATAAAATTTTTGGTGACTAGGCTATCAAGCACGATCATTTCTTTTATAATTGTGCTTTTTTTGTTTCTCTCGTGGATCAGACACACAAGACGTAAATTTGATTCTGTTAAAAAAATGTTTTTAATGCTAGATCTTCATTAACATTTCTCTTCACCCTCTCAAGAGATCATTTGGAGTAAAGAAAAATTAATCAATTTTGTGTTAAATCATCGATTATAATTACAATTAATAGCTTTGAGACTGTGACGAAAATGTTTCATTTTTTTTTATTTCATGTGCACTAATAACAAATAATTTCTGGAATTTTTTTTTTCTTCAATATCACCTATGTTTAAATAAGAATTGAATGTTTTTCTTTTTTAATTTGGAGTATTTAACAAGTCTTTTGTACATTGAGCATTTCTAAAACTATACATTTAATTTAGCTTATGAATAATACTCATTCTAGCTGAACTTCTTCTAACAGACGAGTCGTATATATTTGTATTGAGCGTAGGAAACTGTGAACACCATGGTTTATTATGATGATGATGATATGTTGGATTTATTTGTAAATATGTTTTTCGTATATTAATTTGATTTTTTGGTGGTGAATTATTATTATGATTAATAATACTTGGTTCATGATCAATAGCATGACTTGGACACATAGATAATGATGATTTTCTTCGATCATTTAAATGATTTCTATTGTATGCTAATCTAAATGGTAGAAAAAAATGACCCCAATGACTAGATGGAGTTTGTTGACGTGTCTGATAATTTGATGATGTAATCATATATTTATTTTGTTGTTGTTGTTGAGAATGTCTTTGTCTACTATTTTTTTTATTTTGTTTTTGAATATCTTTACTTAATAATGATGCTAATGCTGATTGATAATTAAAACATGTTAATGTTTGTATAAATACATGACGAAATTCTGTACCAGATAAACAATATGTAAGAATTGATGCATAATTAAAATACATTAAAATATTATATATTGTCCATTGTACTTTACGACAACGTAGTTTATCTTCTGTTACATTATGAGTATTTAAATCAATAATAAATGCAGTAACGGGTAAAGTAGTAGCTACAAATACAATTGAACTACATATCATTATTAAACATAATGATCTTAAACGTTTTGTTGCTTTTGATCTTGTTACATGATGATGTGTTTGTTTTGATTTAATAGAGCTAATTTGTCGAACAATAAATACTCGATTTATTACCGTTAAATTACATAAAATAATAAATAAAAATGGTATTATAGTAACAACAAACATATCTATCCATGAATAAATTGTTAAAAAAAATTGTTGATAATGATCATATAAATAACATTTTTGATATTGAAATGGATTTACTGTTGTTAATGATGAAATATTTGATGAATTTGTATCACCATGAACAAATAAAATTAAATGAAAATTAAGTATTGAAAAAAGAACAATAATAATACACGTATTAATACACGCTTGTTTTGTTCTACACCATTTTGAAGTATATATTGGAAATTTAACAGCTACATATCGATCCAAATTTAAACAACAACGAAACCAAGATGATAAATGAAATGTATTATAGAAAAAGAATACATGTATTTTACATAATAAATTTCCTTGAATATGAATATGTAAATTAGATGATAATAGTAAATCTCGTAATAGACCTGTATATAATAAAGCTGTATCAGCTATAGACATAAACGTTAAATATCTGTAGACACTATGTGAACGCATTTGTAATAAAACAATTAACGATAATAAATTACCAATTGTACCAATTGTTAATAGAAATGGATAGGTATATAATTGTAATAGACGAGCAATTTCTTCTTGTTCTGAACAATTAGTCGATGTTGAAATTGATAATAATGTTGACAAATTATCATAATTTTTTGTTATTAATGAAAATGATGTTGATGATATCATAATTTATATTTTTTAATGAAAAATTAATCTACCAATCGGATATCATCTAAATAAAGTAAAAGCAAATAATATTTTATATCAAGATTAAACAATTATTCTCTTATTGTACTCCATGGACTATAATAAAATTTTTTGTCAAGGGAACTGTTTTTATTATTATTCAAAAGAATTAACAACTAAATCTCGTGAGAAAATTAACTTTCTTTAATCATAGTCAGTATGACATGACCTCTAAAATTTGCCTAAATTATACATCATTTGAAAGCTCTTCAAAAAATGATCGATATTTTATGACATTCTATCAGTCAAAAACTGGCATCTCATTTACATTTGTGTACCATCGATTTCGAGTGGACAAGAAATTTTGTCTGCTATACACATTTCAAATTACATGATATAACCATTGTTTTTTGAACAATGTCTGATAGAGACCTTCTATTTTTCGTCACTCGACAGCTGAGACATGTGAATCTACGAAAAAAATCTTAAAAAATTATGTGCGAAGTTTGATTATCTAGTGGATCTGTGAAAAAACAGTTCAACATTTCAAAAATTGACATGAAATATTTCGATGTGTCTCATGAATAGATATAACAGTCTCCAAAATAATTAATTATAGATTACTTTCATAATTTTTGAATAGATATGGGCATCGGAACCAAAAACTTTTTCTAGTCCCGGTAAAAGATTTGCGTACCATTTCATTAACTTTAGTGGTAAACTATTATTCGACCACGTATTTTGTACAGAAATGTTTGCTCTTTTTCAGCCTATATAGTTTAATATATATCGCAAGCCTTTGTTATCAATTAATTTAGCAAACATAATAATCGAG